CCCCCCACTTTCTCTCCCCCATGCTCACCCCACCCCCTTTAGCTTGGAGCCTCTTCTTTCCTGGGCTCTTATCCAACCCAGTCCTGACACTGCAACACCCAGCCTGGGCTGAAGGTTTCCAGGGGCACTAGTCCTGGCTCCCCCCAGTGTATTTTCTTCCTTAGCCAGAGGGCTCCAATCTCCTGAAGGCCTTATGGCCAGGGCAGGGGGCTGGAGAGCTTTGGCAGGGGCAGGGCTTGGCCAGGGCAACCCAGAGGGGGCAAGGAGCCTGGGCCCAGGGTCGACCTATCCCTCTGCCTTTCGCAGCCTCTTGCTCACCTGCCTTTGCAGCTCAACAGTCTTCCCACCAAAAGGGAGCCAGGCGCATCCTTGGACCTGGGAGGGAGACAGTGGAGGGCAGCTGGACACCAGAGGACCATCACTGAGCCAGCTGGCTAGCCAGACAGGGAAAAGAGACACCTGATGAACCTGCACTGCTCAAATAATCCAGTTTGGCCCCAGTTTAACTGCCATGGTTCCATGCTCTGGAATTCTGGGAATAGTAATTGGATGTGGCACTGCTCTGGTGCCGCATCCAACTACCATTCCTAGAATTCCAGAGCATAGAGCCATGGCAGTTAAACTGGGGAAACCCGGATTATTTCAGCAGTGCAGATGAAGGCAAAAAGAGAGAAAGTGAGAGATCTATCAAAGGCTGCTAGGCAACATAGCTCAGTGAATCTCCCACACTCAAGAGCAGTCTATCTATCTCTCACCAAACACCAGGGGAGAAGAGAAGGAGATTTGCGGAGGTAGAAGAAACTTCAGGGCCTGCTTGGGGGCTTCTCCACCAGGCTCTGGCTGGCCACTGTTGGGAGCATGAGTATCCTCTGAGCATGGTCCTTTTGCTTTGCCCAGTTGATTCCACTTTCACTGCCATGGGCTCATTTTAAGGAATTCTGGGACCTGCAGTTGAGGGAATGGGATTTAGAAACCTCTGCCAGGCAGCTCAGGCACTTCTCTCCCAACTAGGAACAGCTGGACAGAACCATGGTAGTTAAAGTGGAATTGTATAGCTATAACTGAATAGTGTGAAAGGTCCTGGTTTCCTCTCCAGCACTAAACAGAGAGAAAGAGCAAATTGGCAACCTCTCTTCTTCTTCTGTTTGATGCCACATCTCCCATTATCCCCAAGCATTTGCCACACTTTCTAGGCAGATGGGCATTGCCATCCAAACCACTGAGGGGAGCATGACATTGCCACTTTACTTCTTAAGATTATTCCCAGTGCCCTGCCATATAACAGTTGCTACATGGTTAGGGTGAGGAGACAGCAATGTTTTCCTTCAAGTGAAAGGGGCTTCCCTAACCCCTTTGGAAAATGGATGCCCTGATCTTGTGGTAGCTGATAATTTTTGTTGTTATTAACTGCCTTTAAGTTGGCATCAACACACAACCCTATAAATGAGGGACCTTCAAGAGATCTGGTCATCAACTGCCCTGCTCAGATTGTGGAGACTCATGGAAGTGGCTTTCTTGAATCCACCTGCAATATATCTTCCTCTTTTCCTGCTGCCATTCATCTTATTCTTGTCCATTGACTCATTATGTCCAAAGTGCAATGGCCTCAGCTTCGTCATTTTGGCTTCTAAGGAGAGTTCAGGCTTCAATTGCTTTAATTTGGAAGGGTCTTTTTAAATGGAGCTGTGTATTGTTTCAAATCAAGGTGAACCAGACCTGCTGCACTAGGGAAAACCCATTAAATGGAGACCTGGCCCGAGTCTTGCCTTGAGTGCACTGGTCTCAAAAGGTCTTATTTTCTTCCAACTTCACCCACTGCCTTGCTATCCCCCTATTTCCAAAAGAGATGACCTAAGAGCAATGGCAGCCCATGTCTGAGGACTCCAAGAGGGAAGGAAGAAATGATCATCCAGGAGGCCACACTGGGCATTGGAAAGAGCTCTGGTTCATATGCGTAACCTATTAAAACAAATCCACCCTTCAACTGATGGAAGAGCAGGAAGCATTTAAAAAGAAACCAAGACCTCTTGAAGTTCTAAAAGGGCCCCAGCTTTCTCTTGTAGCAGAGTGACTTAGGACGTTATCACATGTGGGCCAGAAAG